TATATATATACCAGCCTACCCCAATCTAGTAAATACTAGAGCATTCCTGAAAGAACAAGATAGTTCTAGAAACTAGAGGGCGCCACACCAGTCACGTGACCTCGATGACGCAACAACTATATCTAATCAAAAACACCTCAGATGTGAAAAAAAAGGTGTGGCCACAAATGGATTGAGTGTACGACTAAAAGAAATGAAATCAAAATTGGCGGCTAAACCGGTAGCTACACTAATAGCATTGATTAGAATTTTACATCAACTGTTCGTTCATTAGTTATCCAGGCTGCATTGTTGTTCAATGATGATGGGTAAAACAAAATACGCGGCCTAGCTAACTTAACCTTTCTACATATTCTGTATAAGTTCTGCTGAGTAACCATCCTCTTGATGTGAGTATAAAAGATCTAATGCTACTTTAAATTCTCTCCCAAACATTAGTTATGATGCTGTGTCGCCTGTAGTTTCATGTATTACTGTTTGATAACTCATAAGTAGCAGTGGAAGATATTTATCCTAAGTTGTCTGATATTCATCCACATAAATGGGTAGTTGATTTAATAGTGTACAGTGTATCTCTCCACTATGCCATCAGAAAATAGATGAAGGACTGTTGTCCTGGTCCTTTTGATTCCAAGAATCTGGCGCATTTCTGAAAACAAGGCTGACACAATATTTTGTCTCTAATCTCAATGAAGTTTCATAGCCATCATAAATCTTGAAATGAGCTCATTAACGAGTTGCCTTGCTAGAGTTTTACTTCTTGGTTAGGAGCATATGGTTCTGGCCATTTGGTGAAATAGTCCATTACAATCATCATGTTATTATACCCACAGTTACTCTGTGGTATAGTACCAAAACATGAGCAGTAACTCTCGCAAGTAGTACTCCAAACAATACTGCTATAGTTGAATATGTCATTTTTTCATGGACCTTTATGCTCAGAGCATAACTTACGGGATTTACACCAAATTCTCTAAAGATCCCAATAGCAGAGCTTTCTTACTCTTTTTAGGGTTTTCTTAACAGCTAAGTGTCCAGCCATTGGAATGTTGTGGGGATGATGGAGTGCTGCAAAATGTAGAAAATGTGGAAGTACCAACGTAACTCGCTGTTACTGTCCATTGGTATCTTTTCATTTCTGAATCCCATGTTTTAGTTGAATGTTGGACCACATTACTTCTTCGTTATTCACTTTTGGATGTCACATCTTGGATTATACTCAGTTGTATTTTGAGTTGGTCATCTTTACTATCTTGTGCTTCTCTCTTTTCATATTTTTTTTTTACATGTTGCACTTGTGATGATACTGTTCCTATAGCAAAATCACTAGCATTCTGTATCTAATGTGAGTAGATCTTCAAGAGTTGGATTTGCTAATATAGGAGTGCACAAATATTTCTTCTGTTTGTTAAGTGCTTATTCACAATCATCATTTGAACTTATTTGGTTTCTCAAGAAATTTGTGTAAAGAACAAGCTATGTCAGAAAACGATTTTACAAAATGATGATAGGAAGAGCACAATCCAAAAAATTCTCTTACCTCATGCAGATTCTTCAGTGTTAGCCAATTCTGGACAGATTCAATCTTCGATGGGTCTGTAGACACTCCCTCCCTCTGCTGACTATGTGTCCCATGAAGCACGTCTGTTAACAAACCAATTCACACTTCTTGAGATTCTATTTAAGATTCTCATTCCTCAACTGATTCACAACTTTCCTTAGCCTACCATAAGCATTATCCAAGTTCTTCATATGAATGATTATCCCACCCAAGCAGATGTTACATGGTAGTTCAAAGAGAGCATATTTTATTGGTCATTGAAATGTAGTAGGTGTGTTACATAACCCAATTGGCAACACAACAAATTGCAACAATCCATTTCCTACAGTAAAGCCTTTTTTCTCTCTCTACTTGCTTCATGAACTTGCACTTGTCAATATCCACCCGTAAGATCCAATGTTTCCTGATATCTGGTCAGTCCTTTCTTTTTCCTTTCATCTGGTTGAACTTGATGACTCATCCTTTAAGTAGTGTCTTTTTGGTGTATTAACAGTTGCTGATTCCTCACAGTCTTGGAAGTAATAGCTAGGTTTCCCACATCTATAACAGTATCCTCTTTATGGTATCCTTTAGGAGGAGTTGTTATTTTTAACAGAGCTTTGTCTACAATTCCTGGCAATATATCCATTTAATAAACAAATATTGTGTTTTATTTTCACCATTCTTTGTAACTATTTATCTAATTAATCTTTTCAGTTTCTCTAGAATATTGTTACGACAGCGGAAGTCACGTGACGCTGGTAACACGGAATGAGTTCTAGAAAG